CATTTGAGATATCAAAAAAGTACTCCAGAGTGTTGTTCAGCATGGGGGTGAGTAGAAAATGAAGGCTAATCATGTTTTGGGTGTACTATTCCTTTAAACCCACACTGCTCCCCCGAGGTGCTGCACAATGGCAGCCGGGTGCTTCCAAAGGGAATGGGTTAAATGCAGAGGTGAATTTTTCCAGTATGACATCAATAAAGTTTAATTACCATTTATGGACGGACTGTGCTGAAATTTGCAGATAAGGTGTGTCTCGCCCAAAGGAACAACCCATTACATTATGGTGATGATCAACATGATAATCTGGAGGCAGGATTTGTTGGATTAGAGATTAAACTGTGAGACTATTAGTCATTCTCATTACTATCTGCTCTTGGATAATTACACATCTGAATGGATGAAAAGAGAGGTGCGTTCTCCTCATTCCCCCGGTGGTATCGATCTTCCAATAAGAACGCCACATAAGTTAAGTTGCTTAGACTTCCATGATAAGAAAATCCTCTGCTCTGCAGAAACAGGGTTTGATGCCTCCTGGAGCCGGTAAACGCCCACAAATCAAGTTCAACAAGTACAACAGTTCCTGCTGTTTATAAGAGACAAAGGAAACCTAAAATGCTTTTTTTCCCTAAAGGTTCACACGCGAAACTCGCTGGTACATCGCCGTTTTGCAACAACAAACAGTTAGCATGTCTGCATGCATGATGCTTTATGTATACCTGGGTTAGGACGGAAGTTTCCCCCCTGAACTGCCGCGACACTGTCTGTACCTTGGAACAGGGAAACAAGGCAGGCGCCTGAAGAAAACCACAAGCAACAGCCGTTCCAAGCTGAAAATCCACGGATCTGTCTTAACTTGTCGCAATGAAACTGAAATCCCCAACCTGAAGTGTCAATTGATGCCACTAATAGTTTGCCATCAGCGTTTCTGTGACAACCGGATGTCCTGAGATGAGCTCTAGTGATTAGAGCTTCAGCATGCTGCTGTATAAAGTTCAGTCTATGATAAAAAAACTATCCTCATTATCCTCCAGCTGCATCTCAGCCTCAGCTGAAGCATCCAGCCTTAAGCCACTGGAGCTACGACGCTGAACACAGTTCCTGAAAACCACTGCCCGTTCTCATGGAAACGGCCAGACTCAGACTGGTCCAACAGATGTCCAGATGGAGAAGAGTGCTCCCTCACTTAGAACGCTCCAGTTGCTCCTTGATTTCAACCTCTGGATCTGAGGCGCTGCCTGATCTATAAACAAGTCAACGTTGCCTGGATTCCATTAGCCTCTAATTTGAGCAGGTAGACAGGATGATCTACCAATGGTGCAAGGAGTTTTGTCCTCACACTGTTATCATTAGTGTAAATATTCTTCTTCTTACTTGAATGTAAATGATCTTATTGTATTAGTAAACTGTCTAAACTGCTCAAATCAAAGGAAAATACACCTTCCTTATGCTTTATCTTTTGCAGCAGATGCAGTTGCTTTCAATGCAGTGCTCTAGAGATGAAGCCCACATGATGACATCAGCAGTGATGAAAACTCTGGGCCTCAGCATCAAGTGGCACCAACTCCACTTCAGGGCTGAGGTAATGTCTGCAGTCAGTTCCACTTTAATCCAGTGGCTTCCTATCAGTACCAGAACCCTGGAGTTCACTCAACTCTGAGCGTGACTCGTCTTTCACTGATGTCTGAATAAACAGTCCCAGGTTGTTCATGTCTGGTTGGGGGGTGGGGGGGGCAATCATGCCGATGTCAGAGAGGTTTTCAACATTATTACTGGAGATGATGTAAGTTATTGAAAAATGTATCAATCCAGAGTTGAAAGATCTTAACTGGTCAACAATTAATAGATAAGCAAACTTTTTAAGAACCAGAGTTCTCTCATGTGTGAAGAGGATCTTTCCATAAGTTGTAGGGAAGACATATTTAAATGTCAAGTCATTCTGGCTTAATAATGTATATAAATGTACTATATTAGACAATATAGTCTATAGTAGACCATATTGTCCCAAAAGTTTGAAAATTTCTATATAAAAAAAAATAATCCTGTCTTAAAATTCAGTCTTTTTCCCCCATTATTTTATGCAGGGCAGTTAGTTATATGTCAGCCTGTACACCTAAATCCAACCAATCATATATCATCTGTCAATCATAATTTTTTCAGTCATAGCATCTTGATTCATATGTCACAGCTAATATACGCAACGGATGAAATAAGAATCATTTCCTTTCCCATTGAGACGTCTGTGTCTTCAGCAGGCGTAGAGCTAACAGAACTGGCAGCGTTGCGAGGCAAGGGCTCAAACATGTACGGCTGGAAGCCTTCTACACCAAACCAAGCTTCTGCCGCCCTGGCGTCCTCTTCCACAACATCTTCGTCCCCGCTTTCCTCCTCTAAATAAAACATGGATGACAGAGGAGACTCATCCAAGACCTCCGACACTAACCTCTCCTCCTCTTGCATGTTTCCTGTCCATAGCGTTCCTTGACAGCGTCGTTTCTAAGTCACTAATTTAGTGCTACTTGGTCCCAATGGAATTTCCCATTGGGAACCTACTAGCACTAAGTTGCTAACACAATCAAACTTGCTTGTGAACCTTCCACCTATAACAATCCCGCCCCCTTGATAATCGACCAATCACATTCACTTTAATCACTCGTGTAAAGTCGTGCACCACTCGGGAGAATTTGGAAATGCAATGGTTGGAAAAGCCGCCTCCCTACGACTTTTAACTATTTACTGACTGAATAAATAAAGCAGTTCAAACAGAACAGGAACTTATTAGCTAAATGGATAAAAAGATTAATAAAATCTGTGAAACTTCTTATTTCCAATGAACAGAGATGTAGATGTGTCATTAATAGGCGGGGTATGTCGCTCTAACATACTGTCAGGCTGTTTATCTTAGTTTCAATGAAATAGCAACAACTGTGAGCTAGCCCTCTGTTTTTAGTGGAATCCATCAATCAGGGCTGGGAGAGACTGCGTTCTGTTAGCAGAGCTTTTAAACAGGTGGTTCTGGTTCTGGTTCCTCTCAGAAGATGTTAGAACTTGGACCAATGAAAGTCATTACCACATGAAGCTTCTCTGTCTACTATGCTAACTGCTAGCATGTCTTGCTAGCTGTCTTCTATCCTGTTCCAAACGTTTCCACTTTTCTGTCATCTTCTATCACAGTGATTCCCAACAGGGGGTACTCATACCCCTAGTGGTCAGCAAGGGCATTGAAAGGGGTACATGAAAATATTTTATTTCTTAGCTAATAAAATAAAATAGGGCTGGGATCCGCTTTGCTTCCTGAGGACCAAACTGAAAAATTAAAGAAGCTTTTATCAGCCAAAAAGTAAGTTTTTCCTATATTTTTGAGTTCACCTTCAGCTTTGACACACATCCTTATAAAGCAGAGGAACAGCCTGGGATCTGCTATTTTTAACGCTGAGCTATCAGAGCTCATCAACGCAGCTCCGGTGTCTTGATAAAAACAAAGTTAAACTAATTAAGTCAGTCTAATTTTTGTTTTGTATTTTGTTCCCAATTAAACTAGTTTAAATGTAATTATAAGGGAGTTACTATGAGGAGCTCCAGTTTTATAAATATAGGTTTATAATAGGATTTTATTTTGTATTTATTTAGATTCCTTATCAACTTCCAGGAAACAACTAATGTTTTTTTACTTGAGATAGAAAACTTAACATGCCTAAGAATGTATTGCTCAAATGAAAAGCTTTGGTAAAATAGTTTTTATTTTATAATCAGTTATTTTATTTTTCGATTAATCAAACTTTAGCAATCTCACACTGGAGAAATTCACCTCTGCATTTTGACCCATCCTCTTGGGGAGCAGTGGGCTGCCACTGTGCAGCACCCGGGGAGCATTGTGAGGTTGAGGGTGTTATTCAGGGACCCAGAGTGGCAGTCTGCGGGAGTGGGGCTTCAAATCAGAACCTGGGGGGCCAAGTGCAATGCCCTAACCCAGGGTTCCTACAGCATAAGGCAAGTTAAATTCAAGACTTTTTAATGCCACTTGAAATAAAAATTTAAGACCAAATTCACAAGAAACACAAGAAAAACCTGCGTGCAACAACTTAACCCAAAGGTTTATTTTAACATAAACCACTGCACTAATGTTTCAAATTCTGAAAAGCTTCCCATACAGGAAGAAAGCTAAAAACACAAAAATGACAGATATATTTTAACAATTATTTAACTAAATTCACAAACTTTGTTTTAGCAGGGAACAAAACAAATCAGTTTTAAAGCACAACATAACCAGTGCTAAGTCTTTTTTGCAGCTATTTTTCTTTGAATCGTTTTCTTAGTGTGTTTGATTTGGTGATAAGTGGAGGCGTTGCAGAGACAAGGGTGGAACTAAACTGAGAAATACCGGCTGTTTCTCTGTAACTCCATTTTGACGCTTTGTGTTTCGTGTTTCGCATGTGCGACTCCACTGCCTTAATTCCCATCGTTCCGAGGTTTAAATCGCATCTTGCACTAAATCCACTGAGCCTCATGTATGTTCCCTGGTTTTAGCCGTGGAGAAAACTCTTGGCTGGAGACAATTTTCGTTACATTTAAACTTG